TAAATTTGAAAAAAAGAGTACAGAGCTATCTTAAGCACAATCAGAAGTAAAATGTTGGAATTTTTTTAAATTTTAAACAAAGGTGAAAATAACTATCTCCCACTAAATTAATCAGTCTCATTATAATTTGGTAACCTAATTATATTTTCATAATTACTCTACTTTAGCTAATAATTCTGATTCTTTGAAAATTGTGTATGAGTCGTCATCATCTAATTGAATTGCAGTACCACCATATTCTGGTAACAATACTCGGTCACCAACATTAACATCAATTGGTACTGTTTTTCCATCCTAAAATTAAAATAATTAATAAAAATTAATCATGCACWTAGGATTCTCATTAATAAAGGTACTCATTAATGAAATAGTTGATGTACCYGAGTTCTAGCTCCTGGACCTACAGCTATGACAGTTGCCTCACGRATTTTTTTCGCAGCACTTTCAGGTAACATTATACCTCCTTTACTTTGCTTAACAGCGTCCAAACGTTTGACCAAAACTCGATCAAAGAGTGGACGGAACTTGGTTGCAATTGAAGCCTGTTCAAACAAAATCAAAGTTAGACAACAGATGCAACAAATAAAATTACAAAACCGCAAGGGACACTACACATTCGACATTAAGTGTAACATTACATTATTAAGTGTGTTCTAATGATATGTATACAAGTGTGATTGGAAGTGGAAGACCAAGGATGGAACTTATGAAACAAATCATGATAATTACGAGAAGGTCMAGCTACAGAGTAAAAAGAAATGATTTGCCAAAGGGAAGCATCGATTGATTGAAGACAAGTATGATATTATTATGGCGTACCGAAACGTTGAAACCACACACACCTACATGTTTGCCGCTTGGCAATAACTTTTGAAAATAATGTCGGACGAAATATCTCAACATATTACACGTTTTAATAACAATAAAGACATCTTACCATTTTGATTGGATAGTGGCTCTGATAGTTTCAATAGTGAAGTAAGAAAAAATATGACAATAATTGTCGGATACGGGGTATTTAGAACGGAGAGCAATGAGAGAACAGAGAACTTTAATTTTAATGGAATAGGTTAAACTAAAACCATATTACTCAATCATGGCCAATACCCATACGCGACGACAAGGACGTTATCAGACCGCAGATAAAAGTAAGGTTATAAAATATTTTCATGGAATACAATTTTTTTTCCGAATCCTTTTTTTCCTCAATAAAATAYGTTTTAAATACAATTTAGGTGACAAGACAATGTCTCATAAATGATAAATAACAAAATAATTTCATTTTAGAAGCTTAAGATATATTTAAAAAACTGTGTGATTTAAAAACAATTAAATACATTATTATTTGTATTTTAACATGTTATTATTTGGAAGAAGAACTCAACAATTTTACCATCAGGTATCGGCGGTCTATTTAGTGGCCATTCAAATTTAACTTTGAAATTTTGAAAAATATTTATAATTGAAAATAGCGTAGACGCGTAGGTGCATATCATTTTTTGGTACCATACTGGCTATAATTTTTATATTTTTATTTCTGGGCAGAGCGAAAAATTATGTTGTTTTTTTAATAGTTTTCTAATTGAGATAAATTCTCCAATCGTCAATTATGAGGAAGGTCTCTGAAAAGTGAAAAGAAAATTTGTTCTAGTTTGTACTTCAGTATGATAAAGAAAATATTTCTCAGTGCTGTTTTTTAAATTATGAAGAAAAAAAACGTAAACATTTGTGAAAATTTTAATTTTCAGTACTTAACTAAAAAATTGAATGATCTTCATCTTTTGTAGGAAAAATTGTTTTTCAAATATGAATATAGTCCATACCTATATAGCCATATAGGTTTAGGTACAGCTTACAAGAGAATGGCTACCTATCTGTAGCACAGAACAATTGGTAAAAAATAGGTACTTGGCTAATTTTTTCCGTCTATTTCCAAATTTGCATCATWTATTTGTAGGCACCTACTTACCTTAGTGGCAAGTGTTCTTAAATTATAATGAATATAAAAGGTATACCACCGACACTTATTACTTAAAGCTATATCATGTACATAATATAAATATAAAAATTGTATTTGAATACAATTGTGTTGTCTTTTAAAGTAGCTGCTAGCTACGTATAGGCTATATTTTTAAAAATGTCCAACACATTTTAATATTTATGAAAGCCTAAACTACTTACTAAGGTTGTTGGCTTATTTTGTTGTGGAAAGTTGTTAAATTAATAAAATGATACATTATTCAATTGGTTATTGCTATGATTCTTGAGAATAGCCAAATTTTTAATACAATTGCTCGTTTTTTGCCTCTTTAAAGATCACATTTTGCGTGACTCATTATGCACAAACCGTCACATGATAATTTGGATGTTTTGAGTTCAATGTTAATACATAGGTATAGGAATATGCATAATTTTAGAGCTCCATAAGAACTACTAGTTTCTCATTTCTATAGAGTATCAACAGTTAATATTGGTAGCTTCATTTTCCGATTGATTTAGTATACTCATTAGTCATTACTTATTACTCAACTTATGACATTTTTTATCAACATATTAATTTTTTTATTTTGTCAATAAGCCACTTTTTAATAGGTTATGTAGCAACATTTCCTTATGGCTGCAAATCCCTTCAATTTCTGTAGTTCTATGATTAAGTGTATACACTCACCAACAGGATAAATGTAAAATGAAGAACATATTCATTTCTACTG